GAGACCAGCCTGGCCGACGTGGTGAAACCCCACCTCTACTACTAAAAATACAAAAAGTAGCCAGGCGTGGAGGCACGACCCTGTAATCCCAGCTACTCGGGAGGTTGGGGCAGAAGAATCACTTGAACCTGGCGGGGACGGTTGCAGTGAGCCAAGATCCCGCCACTGCACTCCAGCCTGGGTGACAGAACAAGACTGTCTCGAAACAAACAGAAAAACTAAGGGTTACCCTTGGAGCAAGAAAAACTGAATATAGGAAAAAGCCCATTTAGAGAAGTGCAATCCAGCCTGCTGTGTGATGAGGCTGCTAAAAGGTCATGGCCTGGCATTAAGCTCTCTCACAGGTGCTCTCATGATTTCTGGGTTTTTAGTATTTTCTTCTTTTCTTTTCCTTTTTTTTCTTTTTTTTGAGACAAGAGTTTCACTTTTGTCCCTCAGGCTGGAGTGCAGTGGCGCGATCTCGGCTCACTGCAACCTCCACCTCCCGGGTTCAAGTGATTCTCCTGTTTCAGCCTCCCAAGTAGCTGGGATTACAGGCATGTGCCACCACGCCCAGCTAATTTTGTATTTTTAGTAGAGACGGGGTTTCGTCATGTTGGCCAGGCTGGTATAGAATTCCTGATCTCAAGTGATCCTCCCACCTAAGCCTCCCAAAGTGCTGGGATTATAGGCATGAGCCACCATGCCCGGTCAGTTTCTAGTATTTTCATTTGCTTCTCTGCTGTTCTTGGACTAATTTCCCTGACTGGCTGAACCTTTGAGACCCCTTATGCCAAACTTTGGGCCAACAATTTGGACCTAAACCAAGATCTTACACACACTTAGTAAAGAACTAAAATAATTTCCCTCTCAAAGAGCTTTCCCAAGCTGATATTTGAAAATTGGTTATTAGTTGCAGAAGGGGACATTTAGAATTACAAATTATTGGCCTGGCACGATGGCTCACACCTGTAATCCCAGCACTTTGGGAGGCCAAGGTGGGGGAATCACATGAGGTCAGGAGTTAAGACCAGCCTGGCCAACATGGGGAAACCCCATCTCTACTAAAAATACAAAAGTTAGTTGGGTGTGGTGGCACAGGCCTGTGGTCCCAGCTTCTTGGGAGGCTGAGGCATGAGAATTCCTTGAACTCAGGAGGTGGAGGTTGAGTGAGTCGAGATTGTGCCACTGCACTCTAGCCTGGGGGACAGAGCAAAACTCGGTCTCAAAAAATTACAAATTACAGACCGGGTGCGGTGGCTCACGCCTGTAATCACAGCACTTTGGGAGACCGAGGCGGGCAACTCATGAAGTCAGGAAATCGAGACCATCCTGGCTAACGCGGTGAAACCCTGGCTCTACTAAAAATACAAAAAATTAGCCGGGCGTGGTGGCGGGCGCCTGTAGTCCCAGCTACTCGGGAGGCTAAGGCAGGAGAATGGCCTGAGCCCAGGAGGCAGAGCTTTCTGTGAGCCAAGATTGCGCCACTGCACTCCAGCCTGGATGACAGAGCGAGGCTCCCTCTAAAAAAAAAAAAAAAAAAAAAAAAAAAAGGCCGGGCGCGGTGGCTCAAGCCTGTAATCCCAGCACTTTGGGAGGCCGAAGCGGGTGGATCACGAGGTCAGGAGATCGAGACCATCCTGGCTAACACGGTGAAACCCCATCTCTACTAAAAAATACAAAAAACTAGCCGGGCGTGGTGGCGGGCGCCTGTAGTCCCAGCTACTCGGAGGCTGAGGCAGGAGAATGGCGTGAACCCGGGAGGCGGAGCTTACAGTGAGCCGAGATCGGGCCACTGCACTCCAGCCTGGGTGACACAGTGAGACTCCGTCTCAAAAAAAAAAAAAAAAAAATACAAAGTATCAGGCCGGGCATGGTGGCTCATGCCTGTAATCCCAGCACTTTGGGAGGCTGAGGTGGGTGTATCACAAGGTCAGGAGTTTGAGACCAGCCTGAGCAACATAGTGAAACTCTGTCTCTACTAAAATACAAAAATTAGCTGGGCGTGGTGGCACGCGCCTGTAATCCCAGTTACTCAGGAGGCTGAGGCAGGAGAATCTCTTGAACCCGGGAGGCAGAGGTTGCAGTGAGCCGAGATCACGCCATTGCACTCCAGCCTGGGCGATGCAGCGAGACTCTTTCTCAAACAAACAAACAAACAAACAAATAAATAAATAATCCTGCCAAGGAGAGTAACATTCAAAAGCTACAATAAAACAAGAATTTGCAAGCATCTAGCTTTTGCCAGGCACAGGTGAAAGAAGTTTATGGAAGCCTCCCTTAGATTACCACCTTTTTTCCTAGGTAAGAAGTGAGACTTTGAGAGGTAAGAAATGAGTTGAGGCCAAGGTTCTACAAGACATTAAAGGAGCCTAGTGGAAAAAAAGTAGGTCCTAAGTAGGATAGACCAGAGGGCTCAGGATATTAGTTCCAGCTATCAAATCATGACAGCTGCAATGCCCTGGGCACTGATTTCATGTATGGCTTATGGTAGTTTAAAACATGCCTACACATTCCTTGACATTCCTCCCATATAGAGGTGGAGTCTAAGTTCCTTTGCCTTGAATATAGGGTAGCCATGCTGACTCTAAGGAACAGAATGTGGCACGTGACAGAACTGATTCCAAGGCTAGGTTAGGAAAGGCAATACAGCAACTATCATCTGGTTTTCTTGTTCATTCTCTGAACACTTGCCCTTAGAATCCAGTCATCATGTTTCAAGGAAGCTCAGGCCACAGGGAGAGGCCATGTCTAAGTGTTCCAGGGACAGCTCTAGTGGTCCCAGGTCCTAGCTGACAGCCACCATCAACCACCAGACATGTAAGCTTTTAGGGGACCCTAGGCCCCATCCTTTGGGCTGCCCCCACTGGTGCTGAATGGATCAGAAACCAGCTGGCCCAGCGGGAACCAGCCCATTTTGCAGATTTGAGAGCAAAATATAAATAATTCGTTTTAAGTCACTGAATTCTGGGGTGGTTTGTTACACAATAGTAGGTAACCAGAAACCCATAATTTCTGGATTTCTAGTAGTTTCTTTTTCAAGAAAGGTCAGGTCCGGTGGCTCATGCCTGTAATCCCAGTGCTTTTGGAGGCTGAGGCAGGAGGATTGCTTGAGGCCAGGAATTTGAGACCAGCCTGAGCAACATAGCAAGATCCTGTCTCTGCAAAAAATCGTTAAAAATTAGCTGGGTGTAGTGGCAGGAGCCTGTAGTTCCGGCTACTTGGGAGGCTGAGGCTGGAGCAGTGAGCTGTGATTGTGCTATTGCTTTCCAGTCTGGACGACAGAGCAAGACTCCATTTCCCCCCAAAATAAAATAACCAGAGCAGTGGTTTTAATGTTATCTTTAATTCCCTCTACAAGCCTGAAAAGTAGGTATACTGCGATCCCTTTCTGAAAAATGAGGAAAGGGAGATCCAGGTGGTGAAATGCCTGGCTCAGGTTTCACACTAATTGGCAGGGTCAGGATTTAGCAGCTTCAAAGAAAGCGCCTTCTCCACTACTCCAGGGAGTCTCTAAGACACTAAAGGGGATTAGACCTGTTTCCCACAGCTTTAGGAAGAATTTGGATTCCAAAAACAGCTTGATTTTTAAAATCATAAAAACACCTGCTGTATTATCACCTACAACGTGTCTCTGTATAGGCTTAAAAAGGCTCAGCAGCTTTATGGGTTATATAAGGCTTTTTACCCACCTTATTCTGTTTAATCTTAACTGCCCCATGAGCAGGTTATATCATCTTCCCAATTTCACAGGTAAAACTAAGGATAGATGGAAAGACTAACTCTCCATAGCCTGTAGGAGGTGGCAGAGATGAGAATGCAAACTCGGGCCTGATTGGCATGTGTTTCCCTCTGCCTCTTGCCTGCAAAAAAATAGTTGGTAAGAAACACACTTTATTCAGTAATACAAACGAAAAGAAAAAGGTTTTCTGTTGCCAAGATTCACAAGGGAGCCGAGTTAGTGGTCACTCACTGCTTAACACTCTAATTTCACAAGTGAAGAAAGTGAAGTTCCAACAAAATAGGCTTCTTGGAAGAAATGTAGACGTCGCTGTCCTTTAACGAGGAAAACTGCGTTCTCCTTCGCGCCTATGCATCCCTTTACACCAACGCTGCGAGTACCACAGGGCAGAAATGGGTGCTTGTGGTATTCCTGCACATAGGACCTCCTCCCCAGGACGGCAGTTACCCGCACTGCTCACATATTTGCATTTCTGTGGCCCTCTGTCAGCCGACTCTGCACTACGTGGTAAGCGCTTTACATTCGCCGTCTCATTTCCCCAACTCCACTCGCACTTCCCCTTTCCGTGCAGGCTAAGGACAGATTCAGGTTACGGGAGGGAAAGAACATTTCAATGAATGTCAGTCGCCTTTATCTCTATCAAAGCCAATCGTGACAAGTTTGTCTATTAATGCAGCAACCAGTACTGTCGCATAAGCCTCATAGATTTACAGAGAGGCCATTTTAGAAACACGACCGAAACTTAGCGAAGTCAGCTTTGCCCAAGATCACGCCACTCGCACAACAGCTGAGGTTCGAACCCGCACCGGGAAGGCTCGGAGGACCCCAATCTCCTATCTCAAATTCCCCACTGCCGAAGCCCCACGGTTCTCTGCCGATGCGAACCGTGCAAATACACGGGTGGTCGCGCCACACGCCGCGCTAGCCGCCAGCCCAGGCCCATCTCGCCGCCGCCTCCCCGGGAGAGTGTCGTGCCGCGAGTCTCCGGTCCCAAGTGCCACCCGCTCTGCCCCGCAGTGCGCGTGGGAACGCGGTGGCGGCGGCCTCGGGGCTGCCCACGGCGACCGCCTGCGCGCACGGGAGCGGGCTTCTGCTGTCCCCGCCGCGGCCTCCTCCTCGCCACCACCGCCTCCCCACCGCCCGGCCCGCGCAGGGGCTGGCGTCCGGGGGGCGTGCGGCGATGCTTCTTTTCCGCCCGGCACCGCTGCAGCCACCTCACATCCGGGCGCGCGGCGGGGAAGGCGGCGCCGGGCCCGGGTGCGTGGAGGGAGTTATTAAGGGGGAGGGGGCCGAAGAGGAGGGGCGGAGGGCCGGGCTGCAGTTACGGCGGCTGAAGAGAGACAGCCCGAGCGGGTCGGGGTGGGGGCGCGAGAGCGAAGGCTGCGGGGAGCGGTGCTGGGACCAGCGCGGGCGGCTGGGAGGGGAGCGGCGGCCGAAGCAAAGGGCCGCCGAGCGGCGGAGGCACCGAGTAAGGGCCGGCGGCGGTGGCGGCTGGGTCCGGGGCACCGCGCGCCGGTGCTCGCGGATGTAGAAGGGGCGCGGGCGCATTGCTCCCGGGGTCGCGTGCGTGAGCGCGGGCGCCGGGGCGCCCGCAGAGGGTGAGCAGGAGCGCGAGGCCCGCAAGGCGGCCGGCGGGTAGCCGGCGGGCTGGCTGGGGGGGGACCGAGCCGCCGGGCCGGGGAGGACGGCTACGGGCCTGCGCCAGCTCCAGCTCGAAGCGCCCGGGCCGGGAGATTCGGCCTCCCTGCTCCCTGCGGCCGGCCGCCCCTCAGTGAGTACCGTCCCCGCCCTTCCTCCGAAGGAGGCCGCTGGGCCCGGGCCTGCGTGAGGGGCTGCGGGTTGGGGTCGCGGTCCGGGGAAGCCAAGTTTCGGAGCTGAAGCCGGTGCTCGCTCTTTCCTTGCCATCGGCGCCCCTGACATGGCCACAGGTGCGGCTGGCCGGGCGAGGGGCGCTCGGGCCCCGTCCCCAGTCCCTGATCCCCGGATAACAAGGGGCAGCTGGCGCCGTCCATTGGCAAGTGACAGGCACTTTACAACAGACTTCGCGGGTTCCCAGCCCAACCAGTCTTCTGCCTGCCCCCAGTCCGGGAAACTTCCCCACCAGTCTTGAAAGATCCCCCTGGGTGGCAGCTCCTAATCTTGGTTTCTCTTTGTATTAAAGCTGCTTAAAGGTTATATACCTTGAGTTGGGCACCTTCTGCTTTTTACCATGTTGATGCTTAGAATACTAGGAGAGATAACTGAGTACCAACGATTCTATCTCCGAGTTCTAATTTATAGCATAATTTTGGGATGGGGACTTATTTTTAACACGAGCTGTTTTAAGAGGTTAAAACGTTTCAGCCTCTGAAGAAACAGCCAAGATTTCTGAAAACTTACTGTTCTCGGTGACAATTTTGTGCCGATTTATCTTCCAGGTGCAGAGCATTGTAGACCAAGGAGCCATGGATAGGAGAAGTGTGGGTGAAACAGAAAATGGAGATGCTTTCCTTGACCTGAAGAAGCCACCTGCCTCCAAGTGCCCCCATCGCTATACAAAAGTAGGGTTTGCCACTAATGAAATAGTGTTTCTTTTTAGGTGGGGAAGTTAGTAACATTGTATAACCATTTAATTCCTATTAAGTGGTAATCTCCCTCTGACTCACTACATGGACTAAATATTAACTAAATTTAGTAGAGCATTACTTTGAACATTTTTCTGCAAGTGCAGATACCCAGAGTTTAAGCTGGAATTTGCTTTGAGAGGTTTTTAGGTGAAGGGAATGTAGGCTTAGATTTTTTTAAAATTGCAGATCCGTATACTTTGTAAGTTCTGTAACAGCTATGTAATTGCTATGTTATTGATTTACATACTGTACTCTGAGGATTAAAGCTCTAGGATGCGCCACAAAATTAGTGTCCTCTGTATTGATGTTTCCTTAAGAGGCAAATTCCCCATAGGAATGCTCTTGAGTGTGCTTGGTGGGGTAACTGGATTTTTCAATCCTATTTTTTTACTTTCTATTACAAATTGGATATGGACTCAAAAAAGTAAGGCTTCAGTCATATTTCCCCTAGCTGAAAACTGGAGATGTTTAAACTGCTTGTCCAGATAACTGCTTTTGGGAGAGAGAGGAAGTCATATTTATTAAAGATCTTGCTTCAGTACATGTCTTGTTGGCTACTGAATGTTTCTGAAGAGGCTGACAGGACTCGAATTGTAAATTCATTTCTCGGTCCCTAAAATGTATCAGGCTCGTTCCCATAAAACTTGCTTAACAGTGTTGAAGCAGTTGGGACATTGACGACAAGAACGGTTATATCCTAATTGGGCCCACATCCATATATCCTTAGTATGGACTTTGTAAAAAAATTTTTTATTTTATTAATTAATTTATTTATTTTGCACGCGACAGGGCCTCATTCTGTCGCCCAGGCTGGAGTGCAGTGGTGCGATCATGGCTCACTGCAGCCTGGACCTCCCGGGCTCAAGCCATGCTCCCGTCTCAAGTCTCCTGAGTAGCTGGGACCACAGGCGTACACCACTACGCTCGGCCAGTTTTTGTATTTTTTATGGAGATGGGAATTCGCCATGTTTCCCAGACAAACTCCTGGGCTCAAGCAATCCGCCCACCTTGGCCTCCCAAAGTGTTGGGATTACAGGGGTGAGCCACTGTGCCAGGCCTCAGTCATGGCTCTAACATGGCTAATTGTCCCTGGCTTCCTGGAATACTGACTGGTTAATGCTTTAAAGCCAGGCCTTGTTTATGTACTGGTGCACTACTCTTACCTACTTGATAAAGTATCAAATGCTGTCAGATTAATATTCATTTTCAGCACTGAAGAAAACTGCTGAAAGAGAAATGTTTTCAGGTGTAAAGCGTTCTTGGTTGATTGCTGTCTTAGGATGGTCTGTTTTGGCATGACAGCATGTGAGCTGATAGAAAACTTTTTCCACATTCAGATTTGGTCTTCCCAAATATGTCTTCCCAAATATATTTCTTTCAAACCCGAGAGTGTTTAGAGTAGTGTTTCACAACTTAGATTCGTTTCCTGAAATGGTGACAGGTGAATTCTTAATGGAGAAAAGCCATCAAATGAAGTGAAATGGAAATCTTCCAGTACTTATTTTTTTATTTTTGTTTTTATTTTTTCAGACAGAGTTTTTGCTCTTGTTGCCCAGGCTGGAGTGCAGTGGCACAATCTTGGATCACCACAACCTCCCCCTCCTGGGTTCAAGCGATTCTCCTGCCTCACCCTCCCGAGTAGCTGGGACTACAGGCATGCGCCACCATGCCCAGCTAATTTTTGTAGTTTTAATAGAGACGGGATCTCGCCATGTTGGCCAGGCTCATCTCAAAATCCTGACCTCAAGTGATTCACCTGCACTGGCCTCCCAAAGTGCTGGGATTACAGGTGTAAGCCACTGTGCCCAGCCCCCTTCCAGTACTTTTTGTTTTGTTTTGTTTTTTTTGAGCCGTAGTCTTGCTCTGTCGCCCAGACTGGAGTGTAGTGGCGTGATCTTGGCTCACTGCAACCTCTGCCTCCCTGGTTCAAGTGATTCTCCTGCCTCAGCCTCCCAAGTAGCTGGGACTACAGGCGCACGCTGCCACACCTAGCTAATTTTGTTTTTGTATTTTTTTTTATTTATTTATTTTTGAGACAGAGTTTCATTCTTGTCACCCAGGCTGGAGTGCAGTGGTGCTATCTCAGCTTACTGCAACCTCCGCCTCTGGGGTTCAAGTGATTCTGCTGCCTCAGCCTCCCAAGTAGCTGGGATTACAGGCATGCGCCACCACGCCCAGCTAATTTTTGTATTTTTAGTGGAGATGGGTTTTTGCCATGTTGGCTGGGCTGGTCTTGAACTCCTGACCTCAGGTGATCCAACTGCCTCAGCCCCCCAAAATGCTGGAATTACAGATGTGAGCCACTGTGCCTGGCCTATTTTTTTTATTTTTTATTTTTAGTAGGGATGGTTTCACTGTGTTGCTGGTGTCAAACTCCTGAGCTCAGGTGATCACCCACCTCGGCCTCCCAAAGTGCTGTGATTATAGGTGTGAGCCACCGAGCCCGGCCCCTTCCAGTACTTTATTATTATTATTATTATTATTACTATTGAGATGGAATTTCGCTCCTGCTGCTCAGACTGGAGTGCAATGGTGCGATCTCGGCTCACTGCAACCTCTGCCTCCCAGGTTCAACCGATTCTCCTGCCTCAGCCTCCCGAGTAGCTGGGATTACAGGCATGTACCACCACGCCCGGCTAATTTTGTATTTTTAGTAGAGACGAGGTTTCTCCATGTTGGTCAGTTTGGTCTGGAACTCCTGACCTCAGGTGATCCACCTGCCTCGGCCTCCCATAGTACTGGGATCATAGGGGTGAGCCACCGCACCCAGCCTTTCCAGTACTTTTTGAACTAAAGTTCTAACCGGTTGTCTACTGGTAGAGTCCAGGCAGAGAGGCTTTTGAATCACTTTCACACACTGATCAGAGGTTAACATGTATATTTCGGCCAGGCGCGGTGGCTCATGCCTGTAATCTTAGCACTTTGGGAGGCCGAGGCGGGCGGATCACAAGGTCAGGAGATCGAGACCACAGTGAAACCCTGTATCTACTAAAAATGCAAAAAATTAGCCGGGCGCAGTAGTGGGCGCCTGTAGTCCCAGCTACTCAGGAGGCTGAGGCAGGAGAATGGCGTGAACCCAGGAGGCAGAGCTTGCAGTGAGCTGAGATCCGCCACCGCCCTCCAGCCTGGGGGACAGAGCGAGACTCCGTCTCAAAAAAAAAAAAAAAAAAGTATATTTCATCTTTGTGTATGTTTCTATCTTTATGCTTAAGTCATTTTTAGGAAGATAATTTCTCTTTCTTAGGGTAGGACTTATGTTTCTTTGCAGTAAAGATTAAGAACCTCAGTATTGTCCATTTTTGACAGTCCAACCTCAGAATTCTGTCATACTTAGATAAATGTGCCTTGAAGAACTGGTTAAAAGCATTTTTTAGCTTAATGACAGTGGAGCTTAGATTTAAGTCTTTTCTACCAAATTAATTGGAAATAGGTTTACTTTCTACTCTTAAGAGGATTTAGTTAATGACAATTTTAGGATAGTGTTTAGGCGGTGTTAGGGTGGTACTTTCATGTTTTTCAACACTCTAGTAATTTTATGCGGGACTTGGGGATAACGAAGTCTTCTCCCTTTAAAGAGAGCTTGAAATGATTATATGTTACTAGCGCTATAATAAATATGTTAGTTCCACAACTGGAATAATATTCAAACCATCCTTCTTCCTTTTCTACATACTGAGATCAAACTACTGGAATGAATAGACTAATGATGTTTCTGCCACTTCAAGTTCATGGGCTAGATCTGGAAGCAGTAAAGGGAAACTGTTCTCATTGGTGATTTTGAGGTGGAGTTTCGCTCTTGTTGCCCAGGCTGGAGTGCAATGGCGTGATCTTGGCTCACGGCAACCTCCGTCCCCCAGGTTCAAACTATTCTCTTGCCTCACCCTGCTGAGTAGCTGGGATTACAGGCATGTGCCACCACGCCCAGCTAATTTTTGTATTTTCAGTAGAGATAGAGTTTCTCCATGTTGGTCAGGTTGGTCTCGAACTCCCGACCTCAGGTGATCCGCCCACTTTGGCTTCCCGAAGTGCTAGGATTACAGGTGTGAGCCGGCCGGTGACTTTTTTTTTTTAATAGGTGGTGTATTCTGTGGAAACTTGTAGCTGTGTATGTTTACTTACAGGGTCAAAAAAAGACATTGGCCATATGAGAGGGCCCCTTAACCTTTGATCCTTCTTAGTTTAGTGTTCAGTTGCTTTCTGGGATAATGTTAGTAGTTTGTTGTTCAGAACTCGAAGCGTTTTTGTTTCTCCCCCATGAGTAGAAGTAGTACAGATGTTTTGGTCAGGTGCTTTTCAGGATAATGTACCAGAGTTTCCTTTTGTGCTAAGACATCTTTAGTTCAGCTTGTTTCTCAAATGTTAATATGCCTGAGGAATCATGTTTAGGCCTTGGGGAAGGAATTCTGAGTGGTAAGGAGGGGTGGACCTGAAGATTCTGCTTTTTAACCCACTCCCAAGTGGTGCACATGTTGCTGGTCCACTGACTATACTTTGAGTATCAAGGCTTTAGTCTTCCTTAGAGAACTTGATAAATGGTGTTGGTGGTGTCAAGTAACTCAGAGGATGCATAGTTGTTATTTGGGGTTCAGATGATGTTCATTGTGATTCCAAGAATATCTTAGGAACTCAAGTTAGAGTCACATTGGGTGCTTTCAGGCCTACTCCTAAACCTCAGTGTGGGATGGTTATAAGTGGGTTTATTATATGCACCTGTTACCCTGCGGGTCTGGAGCCCCTAAGTTGTAAATGCTGGTCTGTTTTTTAGGCCAGATTCCTAAGACCAAAAGCTATATCTTGGTAGTATCTAAGTATGCATTTTTAAAGTGATTGGATCATGTTGAAGGACTTTTGCAGGTTATAGAGTGGGGTCTCACCTGAAAGTTGTGGTTTAAAAGTGGTTTAGACAATGGTTCTCAAAGTGTGGTCCCTGAACT